ACAAATTGAGTATTTGACTTTTTTAACTTTTTGGTACGAAGTTTTGCCGTTGAAAAAAATTGCATCTCATTGACAATTTAACTTTTAAATAATAAAATTTTAGGATGATACAAAAAGTTTATAACTCAATTAATGATTAATTTTGAACCAAACATTAAAATTTGATTTAGTAGGTTTTGAAGCTCATGACCGAACAAAATAAGATATATACTTTATGATTATTTTTTTATAGTTGATTATTCGATTATTGATCAATGAAAAATGTCAGCAGCACGTGTATGCATAAGAAAAAAATCGTTTTTTATTTATTGATAATCAAAATATACGATCGTAAATGTGTCGTCGAAATTGATTTAGTAACTTCTGAATCTTGTGGAGAACAAAAATGAGATATAAATTTATGATTATTATTTTAGTTGATTATTCGTCAACGGAATAATGTAAGCAACACGTACGAATAAGAAACAAAATATTATTTGTTTGTTGATGGTAAAAAAATATTCGATTTTTTATCAGAATCTATCGTTGAAAAGCTTTTAAAATGATTTCTAAACAAGATGGTTTTTATGAAAATCTAATGGTTGGCGATTACAATGAGCAGCATAAATATTTCAGAGGTACTCGGATAAACTTGAAGAAGTTGTGACAAATGATATACTAATATTGTTATCATTTGGTGAAGATAAACAACATCCAAGCCTCTTGTTAACCAGTGAGGACAACAACCAATCATGGAGTGACAAGTACGTACAAACAATCATGGTTATTCTTGTAGTGGTCCCGTCGCTCGCTTTTCAGCCTCCAGAGTCCACCTGCAAGAGCAAGACCGGCGACACAGACTCTCTCCTCCGGTTCTCCGACCTCTGCCTCTGGCCTCGCCGCCTCGGTCTCCCGCGTCGGCCTTCAAGAACTGCCTCCAGCCTCCGCGTCCGGCCTCCGCCTCCAGCCTCCTCCGCCGACATGTTTTAAGTCTACAGGCATGCATGTTTTTTAAAGTCTACTTATCGGTTCAGAGGTTGGTCCTTTTTGGGAGCTTCCCTAAAGAAGTATCTGTCTATACAAAGCGGAGCCGACTTGTTTGTCTCAGTCGAAGTCGATGAGTCGGTGAATCGGAAGTTTCGTTCAACAAGCGCAGGTTAGGGTCGATGTAATTGAGGGAAATGGTAGGGATTGTCTTCTTTGATTGGGTCACCCAAAGGTCTTCTCTGTCTATGGAAGTGATTCCAAAGATGCTACATCAGTTTTTTTTTTTTTGTAATTATTATTATTAGATATATAACTGGCCGTAGCCCAATCCAACACAACATTAACTTATCGGGCTGAGGCTGCAGTCCAGTTATTTTTTAAAAAAAAAATGGACTGGCACGCCAATCCCGCAGCGGATGCGGGTTGGGCCAGCATTTTACAGGCCCGCCAGGCCCGTTTTGACCGCTCTAGTCAATGGATTTGACAAGGGTAAAATGGTGATTTGGTATTGTAGGTTAGAGCATCTCCAATGGAACATTGTACATTTTGTGTTGAATAGCATGAAGACAAGAAATTAAAAAAATGTGTCTCCAATGGTAAGCATTAATTGTGGTATAAATTGTGATGTGTAAAATTATAATTGATTGAAAAAAAAAAAGATAAATTAAATAAATAATATAATATATTGTGGAAGTTGTTTAGAATGACTTCTACATCTAGAAGTCTTTCTAGACATTTACCATGCCACATTTGATTATTTGTGCTATGTAGCAATAGAAAAGAAGAATAGAAGAGCCATTGGAGATGCTCTTAGTCGTGGTTATTAACTCCATATGTTGACTAAAGAAAAGTCTCGTGACAGGTGTGAGTTAGATGACTCGAAAGTCAAAGTCGAGCAATTTTCTTTGAGAACAAATTCATCAATTTCGTTTTAATTTTCTTCAATAATAATAATAATAAGAAAAGTTTAATTCAAGGTTTCCCAACCAATGAATCAAATATATCTGGCTCTAGAATTCGTTCCCATTGGCCTGCATTACATCCACTAGAAGTGTACTTTTTGATGTCGCTTAAGTAAGGTCTCGGGTTTGAGTCCTTGTGAATGTAGAAAACTCTTGTTGGGAGATTCACCCATCATTGCCAGGTGTGCGACTCGGGTCGACCAACAGATTAGTCGGGGCAAAGCTCCAGATACCGTGACTGGCTAAAAAAAAAAACTCATTAAAATATGGGAAAATGCTACAGTCCCGTTTCAAAACCATTCCGTCGGAGTTTGTAACTGTTAGATCAACTATCCACGACGGTTACATGATGATCTAACAGTTATAAATCCCGATGGAATGGTTCCGTAACGAGACCTTAACATTTTCCTAAAATATGTATTATTAAAAGGTTGCAATGTCGACCATGCATGCACCAAAGCAAATCAAAGTTCACACCTATATATAATATAATCCATGTAATTTCTTTATACAACTTTCATCAAAGTGAAAGACCATGTGAAAATTAAATACATTTAGACGAAGAATGATCATAATATCCTCTTCTACACAACCAACCTCTACAATCTAAGAAAAAGTCCTTGCCCCTTGACATTCTCCAATTCACGAGTTGAATTAAATTAAGCACCTCACGTTACTGTGTAAAAACAAGTATTTTTGGTGTGAAAACCCTAATTAAATATTGAATTAAGCACCTCATGACGTTACGTCCTGCCCTGGCAAGCGGCCCGCTCAGGCTGGTCCGTGTAGGCCCGTTTCCCAGCGGGCCTATAAAATCCCGACCCAATCTGCCCCTTTTATGGGCCGGCCGGCCCGCGCGACAGCTCTATCTTTGACCAATGCTTTTCAGTTTTTCATCAAGTTCAACAAACACAAAGATAATACTCATATCACAGTATTATTTTATTTCATCACTAAGATTCATCACATAAATACATATAAATAACTTTACTTTTTAAGATTAAAAAATAGTAAAGATAAAAAGAAAATAGTCCGATCGTGAGAGTTTTGATTGAACAATCGTACTTTGACCAAACCTATTGTAAAGCTACCCGAACAATAATTTATTTCAGCCCGCAGTCCAACTCGAAATCCACCGGATCCCAAATTAACACCTCTTCACCTTCACCTCTATAAATTGAACAACTATGTCCCATCCAAAAAATAACCTACCATAAACACATATAAAAATAAAAAAGAATAGAAAAATGATGTCAACACGTAACTTCACAATATACCCTCTCCTCTTCCTCCCCTTCTTCTTCCTCCTTGCTCTAGCTGGCAACAGCACCAGCCAGAGCAAAGGCGGCATCGCCATCTACTGGGGCCAGAATGGCAACGAAGCCTCCCTGAACGAGACATGCGCCACCGGCAGATTCGCCTACGTCAACATTGCCTTCCTCTACTTGTTCGGCTCCGGCCGAGAGCCCAAGCTCAACCTCGCTGGCCACTGCAACCCCTCCTCCAACGGAACCTGCAAATTCCTTACAGATCACATCAACTTCTGCCAGTGGCACCGACACCTACAACCTCACATCACTTGCCGATGCCCAGAGCCTCTCTCGTTACCTCTGGGACACCTTCCTCGGTGGCCGGTCGGCGGCAACAGCCGCCAGCCGGCCGCTGGGCCCAGCCGTCCTTGACGGTGTCGATCTCGACATCGAGCACGGATTGGCCACATACTACGGAAAGCTCGTCGATTTCCTCCGACAGTACAACAAGACAATTATTGTGTCTGCTGCACCGCAGTGCCCGTTCCCGGACAAGAATATCGGGCCCGCGCTCGAGGGGAAAAGACGGTTCGACTACGTGTGGGTGCAGTTCTACAACAATCCTCAATGCCAGTTCGATTCTGCATCGAACGGTACGAATAATTTGTTGGCGTCGTGGAGAGAGTGGACGACCAACGGGTCTATTAGGGTTGATAAGTTATTTTTAGGCCTGCCGGCAGCCCGGGAGGCCGCCGGAGGAGGGTATGTTCCGGCGGAGGCGTTGACCGGAAAAATTTTGCCTGAGATTAAAGGTTCGCGCAAGTACGGCGGGGTGATGTTGTGGTCGAAATATTGGGACGAGCAGAACGGTGATTACAGCAATAAAATTTTCAAGAACGTGTGATGAATATGAAATTAAATTGGAGATTCTTTGTGTGTGTGTGTGTGTGTGTGTGTGTGTGTGTGTGTGTGTTTTGGAAGTTTAAATTTGAGTAACTAATTAACCGATGTGTGTGGGTGCAGTATTGTTGTGTTTTTATTGTACTTTGGTTTGATCAAGAGTTTCGAAGAGGATAATGATGTTATTGATGATAATATTACGTGCAATTATCATTATTATCACTACAAAATATATACTTGCATGGTGGCGGGTTTATTTTGATGAATTTATCTGATTTTAATGTTAGAAAGATTAATTAATTCAGCTCGTGTTCGCGTAATTAATAAAAGAAGTAAGTTCAGATGGGCTCGTCTAAGCTCACGAAAGTTCAACTCGGCTCGTTTAATAACTTTCAAATCGTAAACGAATTGCTTTGCAAACAAACTCGACTTCCTTGATGTACGAACTCGAGCAACTGTTCGAGCTCAACTTAATTATTTACGTAAACGAGCAAGCCAAACACGAGTTGAACTAAGTTGCGTTCATGAACCGTTCGGTTCATTTAACAGCTCCATCTAATGAAATGAATACGATTTGAAAACACAATTTTGTAATTAATTATATCTAATGAAACGAATACGATTAAAAAACACTACGGTTTTATGATGCGAATTGAATCTTGAAAAGATATTGAATCAATAGTTGGAAAGATACATGGGCAAAAATAAAGTCTGGATCGAGCAAAAAGTTATATGATTTTATTTGACATTAATTGTTGAACTTGTCAAAATCTATATAAAAATCGTCTCTAAATTTTTAAGTACAATAAAATGGAGGGTGAAGCTCGATCATGACTATCGGAAGGCTAACTGTGTGGCGGATTACTTGGCGTCGTTGGCGGCTAAGGGACCGGATGGTTTGCATATATTGGAGCGTCCTCCTCCGAGGACGTGGCTATTATTACAACATGATATCACAAGAGTGTTTTATCCCCGTCGGATCTTGACATAGCTGAGATATATATAGGGCTTTGCCTTTATTTCTTGAAAAAAAAAAAATAAGTACAATAAAATAATTTAAAAGATGAGAGAAAAAAAATGGTATATAATGGTCCTCATGACTTCTATAGATCATAGACTTTTTCAAAAACTAAAATAAACAAAATTTTAAGGGTATGAAGAGTGCCATATTATTATATTGTGAATCTAAGGGCATGCTTGTTTATGAAATAATTTGCTCAAAATTAGTTATTTTGATTAACTAGAGTTAAGTTTAAAAAAAAAAAAAATGAATGAATAGTTGTTAGTGAAATTTTAATAATATATTAAAATAATATTTAAAATAATATAATTATTATTGATTTGATTTAAAAGTGGGAGATAAATGATTGGAAATGATAGGTAGTTTAAATTATGTGAGTGAATGAATAGTGAATTAAAGTTGATGTGATATGTAAGAATGATTGGTTTATAATATTTAATTAATTATATAAATAATATTAAATATAGTGAGGTTGAGTTAAAGTTGAGTTAAATTTTGAATATAAAATAAATGTGAACAAATTATTTCATAAACAAGCATGCCCTAACAATCCACGTCCATCTAAATACAGCATTTTTTTTCCAAAAAAGTTGTTTCATCTAAAAAGTAAGATAGAAAATTTGAGACCATGATTTGTTTAGTCTTTTAAGATTCGCTATGATTTAAAATAAAATAAAAAATTATACGAAATTCCACTTTAAATCACACATTCACACATAATATTTTATAGTATTTCTAGAACATCTTAAAAAGTCTCAAATGTCATTTGAAATTCTAAACGAATACACACTATTTAATATTATTTACCTATGTCTTTAATTTATAATTATTATTTAATATTATCGCACGGGTCACATACTAGTGATAATAATGAGAGTATGAGACTATGAGATATGGTTGCTCATTCGGTTAAAATCGAACCGAACCGACTGAATTTTCGGGTAACCAAAAATTTGGTTTGTTCATTATCATAACCGAAATTTACGGTTCGGTTCAGTTTTTAACCGAAAATTCAACGGTCGTTTCGGTTCGGTTTTCGGTTAATCGCAATAAATAATTAATATTATTAATAAAATTTGAATTAACCCATTAAAAAATTTGATGTTTTATCAAAAAAAAAAAAATAATAATAATAAAAGTATCACCTTGTTTAATCTTCTCAATAAATTCTAAATTCTCATCAAATGAAGATTTCGGATCCCAAACGTGACTTGCACTATAACGAAACCAATTTTGAGTGCAAATTAATTATTGAGCAAATTTATGGGTCAATGAAGCTTGAAATCATCAATAATTGAAGCAAATTATTGATTTTATAACTTATATGTATAAATAAAAAACATGTATATATATGAATATAAATCGGTTTTTGGTTCGGTCTGTTAACTGATCACAATCGAACCGAAAACCGAAATTATAGGAATATGTAAACTGAAAATCGAACCAAATAATCGATTTTGGTTTCAGTTCAAACCGAAGTTTCGGATTCGATCGGTTCGGCTCGGTTAACCAAACTTTGTGCGCCCCTACTATGAGGTTAACTAATTTTTTTATAAAAAATGAAAAAACTTATATTCAAGCATGCAATGAGAGTCTTGGCTCCGAGGACAAAACAAGAGTTTCGCTCTTAACCGATAGAACGTGAATACGCCGTCGTTTCACTTGCCGAACAAAACAAGAGAGAAAAAAAGTCGAAAAATCGCAGAACTGTAACATGCAGTCTCCCGCCAAAATCTTCAAAAGGCGGGAAAATCTGCCTCACGCGCCAAAGCCACATTGAAAAAGCCCTATCACAAAAATTTCCACACACAGATCAACTGAAATCCAATTTCTTCATTTTATTTTTTATTTTTTTTCGTAATACCAAAATTTTCTCCCAAGCTTAAGGATTTTAGCTCGAGCTTTAATGGATGGTTTATCCAGCATCTGCGCGGGCCTCGGGCTTTGGATTGAAGATGAGAATGGGAAGCCCATGCGCTACAGCAAATCTGAGTATTGTTCAGGTACCATTTTATTCTTTTCAAATTTATCACAAATTGAGATTCTGTTGTGGAAAATTCAGAAGATCGTGATGCCTTTTTTTTTTTTTTGTTCATTTTGATGCATTTTTGGCAGATAACTTGAAGGATTTACTTCGGTTTCTAAGGCGAGATGATCCGGAAAAGAGAGACGTGTTCAAGCAAATCTGCAAATGGAAGATTGTGGGGGAAAATTTGATACCGATAATAGAGTATTATCAGGAAGATCGCAGCTTAGTGTTAAATTCAGGTAATGTTTAATAGGGTTTACAGATCAGATTTCATGCCTGCTTGTTTGAATTATGTTTGTTTATGTTTGAGATCTCAATCTTTTTTTTTTGCAGTGAAGGTGTTGGTGTTTTTGACAATGCCGATTGAGCCTGCTTCCCTTGATATATCACAACAAATAGAGTATCTGTGGGGATTGAAGTCTGCTATTACATTCAGTGATATTATTCCAGTGATAGTGTCTCTCCTGGAAAGCCCATTAGAAAATCTCGAAAAGTGAGTTTCTGCGTGCAATCACACGAATGCCGATCATTAGTTTAGTTTTGGATGTTCCAGAAAAATCGTCCATGGATCTGTCTTTGCAATATTAATATGGGCCGTTAAACTGAAAAATCATTAAATACCGTTCAGTACGTCATGCATCAATAGGAAGTAGAAAGATAATGATTACTAGTGCAGTTTCAAAATTACAATATAATGTTGTTCTTGATTGTTTACTTTGAGTCTATATGCTCCAACCTTATGGTTTGCTCAAATGTAATCAGTGAATGTTTCACGGAGGATGACTGGAAATTGGTACAGCTGGTAATTACTTTTTTTCGCAACGTCCTAGCTATTCAAGATGTATCGAGCCACCAGATAACTGGGGGATTAGCCACTCAGTTCCTGTCTCTTAGGGACAGGTTTTTAGAACTATTGTTCAAGGAGAATGTCATGGATCTCATATTGGTGCTGTCACAACACTCTGGCAGTTCTCATGACTATTTACATCAAGATAACTTGCTCTTTCTGGAAATTTTCTATCACATATTTAAAGGTCAACAGCCAGAGTTAATTGCTAAGGCATATTTGAAGGGCTCAAAGGTTGGTTACCTGCATAATTCCTAGTGACACTTTTTTTTTCTTCTTCATTGCATTGGATTACTGAACAAAAGACAAATCTTTTTACCTCATTCGATTGTTGCATTATTTCCGTACACTGCTCGCCTTTTAGGTTGGAAAAGCTTCTGAAGATGCAGTTACCAGTCTCCAATCTATTATGAAAGAGGAACAAGAGAAAAGAAAGCGTTTGAAATTTCACAGTCTCAGTTGTTATTCACAGCTCAGTGGAACATTTACCCGGTTCTCCTTGGTATGTTGTGCATGATTATCATGACATCTCATTATTTTTTTCTGAAATAAATAACTTCTTACATACTTGTATCAACAACAGGATGGTTCTAAAGCGCTTCTAAAAGGAAATCCTTCAGCCGTTGGTAATGTTTCATTAAAAGCTCATAAAAACGCTCGGGGTTCATCGAAAAAGAAAGTTGGGGACAGTATAGAACTGCCATCAACGAAACCAGAAATCCTGCATTTACTTGCTGATTTTATTAGTCAGTTTTTGATGGGGGGCTACAATGGTAGTACCATTCTCTTTTCATATGATCATTTTTTTTATCCAACCTCTATTGGATAGTTCTGTTTTCCTTGTTTAAAATATCATTTGAATTTTGTGTCAATCAGTTCTGATGCGGTCGATCCTTGACGATATTGTGAAAGAACATCAGGAAATTCTTAGTAGTGATGTTGTCATATTCTTTCAGGTGGCTCAATTCGTCACATCTTTCCAATATCACAAGTGTGTAGGTTCAAAGGTAAGATGCAAATTGTGGATATAAAGTGTGATTGTTGCAAGAATTTCATTAGTCGGTATAGCTTTGAATGGTATTTTGGCCAAGGGCCTAATAGGGTATCATATCAGAAATTAGTACATGAAGCTCTCTCTGGTACCATCAAAAGGGAAATGGAAAAGGGAGAAAAAATAGGGAACACTGCATCTTTGTGCGTGAACTGCCTTATCTTTTTTCTTTGTATATTCTCCACCCCGAAATAGTTATCATTAACTGCAAGGAAAATAGTCCTGAGCTATGTCAAACATCAAGTAGCTACTTACAACGACTGACCTCTTTGTTGGCAGAGAATAATACAAAGATTCAAAGACATTTTAGTTCTCAGTTTTGTAGAAAATAGCTTTCAAACCCATATTCTGAATTGTTCGGGGTCAGTGGAGGAATTTCATAGAAAATGCTATTACCCTGTTTGTTGTGGTTCTAAGATGCACCTCCGATTTCACAGTGTTGCTATATTGAGTGATATTGGCTTAAGTATTGACAACTATCCTGTCTATTGACAGCCTAGCATTGAAGTTGAAAATGAGGCATCTGCCACTCGCCATGATGAAACCACTATTTTTAACGGCAGTATATGTGGACCAATTGCTGAAACCCTGAATGAACCAATGTTTCTATTGGTCATTTCAAAATGGCGGTTCGCATTTGAAAGCCTAAGACAAACTAATGACTATAAGTTTCTCTCAGTAGCAGGGTCACTTGTGAAAACTATGGTAAGTATTCTTCCGTTTCTACTTTTTAACAAAATTTATCAAGTCTAGCATATAGTTATCATTTATCTTATTCTATTGCACCTTTTGCATAGTATGGTTTTTTTATGATGATTGCTAGCAAGTAATGCATGTCTGTCATGTAAGCCATTCCTGTTCTCTTGCTACTGACACATCGAAGATGCTTTCTTTTGGAACATCTAATATTTACAATTTTGTCTGATGAAGATACGCATGCTGGATTTGGTACTAAAGCAATCCCCGGAAGATTCAAAGGAACCTCAGACAGCTCGTGTACTTTTGTACAAGTTATTCTATGATCAAACTGAGGAAGGAATGACACAGTTTCTCTTGAACCTAATCAAGTCATTCGATGCTCAGAAGCAGTCCAAAAGGTTTCACTCTCACAGAAAGTCTGTTTCTTAAAATGTTTGCTTAAGATTTGTTTTTAAAAGGCTGTGGTACCTGCTCTGAACTTTTATTGCTGAGATGTTTGTATCTGAGATTTTGGGATCTTCCAAACCTGGAAATATTTTTATTTAAGACCTTGAAACCTGAGATGCTTAAATTTTCTAGGCAAATCATATTTGATTAGATTAGTTTGTAAATATTGGAGCCCACTTGCTGATAATTTTCAACTATGTTAACAAAATGTTTTAGACATGGCTCTGAACTTGTTCAATAAATTTTGCCATGCACCCAACTGCTTTGTGATCATCTACATAGCCATTAGCGACTAAAATATGGCCTCATAGTCGCGGTTTAGCGGACTATCTAAACTAAAATTCAACATATATAATTAAATAAATAAATTTTGTCGGGTTAACAAGAGTAGCAGAGGTTCTGAGTAGTTTCATTTGTGTTGGATTGGCAATGTAGTCCATTGGAACTGGAATTGGATCTCAGATTCTGGCACAGATTTACTGTGTATGCTAAATGTACCACTGTAACTAACAACATACACGTCCAGAAAATTAAAGTAGGGCAGATTGATCTCATTGATTGTTTTTTCTCTACAAAGTCACTACACGTAAGTTCTTCTTTTTTCTTACTATATTAATCCTTTATTTGTGATGTTTGAAGTGATCTTGCCAACTTGGTGGAAAGCATGCATGTGATTCTGCGTCTAGTGGAGAACCTTCAATCACGTGGCTCATTGCGGGTACATCTGAATTTCAGTTATTACTTTTTATTTATATTCCCAGCAGTTCTTGTGCACAAATATTATACTACTGTCAGTCTTATAAAGGATTACAAAGCATTTATGGTACAATTCCTTTTTTTTTTCTTTTTCTAGTAATTCTTTCAAGCAGCATGCTCACCATGTCCTTAAATTTGGTGTTTTGTTTTTTTGTTTTGTTTTGTTTTTTAACTATAGATCACCAGATTATTTTAGTAGGCACTTTACACTGGTTAATCTAGATATCTTAAAAAAAAAAATAGAATCTAGATATCTAATTAATGACATTTGTGAAATGAAGGTCTCCAAGAAGTCGAGGAAGAAAAGGACAAAGAAGACAACAGAAAAGAATGAAAATGCTTGTGAACCAAGTGCGGTCAATGTTGCCTCTCAGACAGAGATTGGCAATGCTACTTGTGAGGCGCCAGTTGATGCCAACATGTCGGGATTTGATACGTTACTTAATCAGGACACCAATATAGAGGCTGAATTAAGCACCCGGGATTTCACTCAAGTTGATCAACCAGTACTAAAACCTACTACTTGTGAGGCGCCAATTGATGCCAACATGTCGGGATTTGATATGTTACTTAATCAGGACACCAACATAGAGGCTGAATTTAGCACCCGGGATTTCACTCGAGTTGATCAACCGGTACTAAAACCTACTAACTCGGAAAGCAACGAGTCTGAGGTGAATGGAGGAATTGTTGCCGATAATGATGTTCTTCTCGAAACTGACGATTCATCTGGCGATGACCAGCTGACATTGACCAATGAGGTTGACTTGAATGCGTCCTCTCTGGTTTCAGCTCTCGCTAACAACAGTATCATTGAGAATTTGTGTTGGTTGCTGAAGTTCTACAAGACCAATTCCATCACGACTAATCATTACATCATAAGCATGCTTCGTCGGATTTGTGATGATCTTGAACTGTCCCCAATGCTATACCAGGTATATTTTGTCCAGGAAATATTTTGTGAAAGAAAACATTAAAAAACTGACTTTTTACATCTTTTTATCAAATTCTGCAGTTATCACTCCTTACGATATTCTATGATATCCTGGAGGAGCAGCAATTGAGACCGTCCAAAGTACACGAGAATATTGTTACTTTCTTGACAACTTTGGTCCGGAGGATGTTGCGTAAAATGAAGGACTGTCCCCTTCTATTTGTCGAGGTTCTGTTCTGGAAGACACGAAAAGAGTGCCACTATATAAATTGTGGAGCCATGATAAAGGAGCTCAAAGGAATCAGAAAAAACAATGGTGAAGGCAGGAGTGAAAACGAAGGAGATAGTTTATTTGAAGGGCAAAAATGGGCCCGAAGGAGTATAGCAGATGCCTTGGGTGATGATGATTTCGGTACATCTGTCCATGACAGCCAACAGTAAGAACTCTTTTCTTTTTTTTTTTTTGTATAATTCTTTTTAATATTATTCATTTATCTTCAAGTTTTGTGTTGCCTCTTTTGATACAGTGAGGGTCACCCTGAAGAAGGATCAAATGGGTCACTGGAAACAGGAAATGACATCACACTTACTGATGAAATGCGTGACAAAATTAAGGATCTGTATCAGAAGTAAGTTCTCCTCAAGTTATGTAATAATAATTTGAAAAGATAAATCAGATCACTAAAAGATAACTGTGTGTGTAAAAGAATATGATTTGGATTTTCGTCCTTCATATGAGAGGAGTCTACTTCTGGTTTCAAACTCTGCTCGAGTAGAGGATATGGAACGTAACTCATTTGTAACAATGTCAGGTATAAGGATAATCGTGATTGTTGCCAACTAATTGCCGGTGAGCTCGATCCAAATGGAGAAATATCAAGCACTCAAGTCTCCAAGATCCTCAAACCGCTCGGATTTAAAGTTCCAGCTGAGGCAAAGATGAAGAGCTCTAAAGAAAATTCATCCATGAGAAAACCTACGTAAGTTTCAGGAAATTTTCGATTGCTTTTATCATTTTTTATCATTTTTAATTTACCCCCGGTTATTTCATTGAGTCCACATTTTGATTAATTGTCTTTTCTTTTTGCTTAGGCACTCCAGAAAAAGAGTTCAGGCATTTAGTGAGGATCAGGAGCAGAAAATCAAAGAATTGTTTGAGCAGTAAGTGGTTTATTCTATCTACTTCTGCCCTTTAATAACTTGGATGATATTTTCTCGAATGAATACATTCTGAGGATGAAATATTTCAATATCTTGAAGGTTTAAAGATAATAGGAGGTGTAGCTACATGATTGCTAATGCCCTTGAAGGCAATGGGGGGTTCTCTGCAGCTCAGATTTCGCGCAAACTCAAACAGCTTGGCCTCATGAGGCCGAAAAATAACAAGTCTCAATCTAAAATGAGTTTGAGAGATGAACCTCTTAGCGACCATCTTTCTGAAGGTGCAAGTGAATATGAGGATGAAACATTGTTATCAATGAAAAATAGGTAAACTTGTTTATTTGCTTTCTCTCTCTCTCCCTCTCTCTCTTTTTTTTAACCTAATTGGGAAAATGAAATGATTAGCCACAACAAAACATGCAAGAATAATGGTTTTTATCTGTCTGTATTAGGAGTAAACAAAAGCGAAATGGAAGCCAATATGATGAGAGGCATAGTAAGAAGGCCGCAAAGGAATTGCCCGAGGACATGTCTGATGATGAATTACTTAGCTCCATGTTGGTGTATGTCTCTCACCATCTTTGGACTTAAGTTTTTCTCACTCTTGTTAATGGTATTTGCATGACAGATAACCATTTGGATGTTGAGTTGTGTATCATTAAGTTCATTACCTGAATTCTTTTACTTTGACTTATTCGATCAATTGTGAAGAAGATATAGCTCGAAAGAATCTACTTTTTCGAACTTTCAGGACAGAGTAACTTATTCTTGTTTTATTGCAGAAAAACAAAGAAAAGGCCCCGAAAGAGTGAGGAGCTCATGACAGATTCTTCTGAGAGGTACACAATCCAAAACTTCTATTTTTAAAAAGTAAATACAAACATAAAAATGAAAAATTGCATTTGAAAGATTTTTGCTGCTAATAAGAATATTCCTTTCCAGGGGCAACTTTGCACAATCCGATGAGATGACAGATACAATCCAACTGGACAATGGAGTTTCTTACCATTATAGTGATTCTGAAATGGACACAACAGGACTTGATAATCTTAGAGACTCGAACAAAAATTCATCCGAGAAAGGCAAAAATTCCGAGGATCCATTCTTAGATGATGGGATTGAGGATGAGTTGGCTGATTTTGATGAAAATACGGTACACATTACCACACAGGATAATCCCTCGTTGGTTCCGAGAAGACGATTGAGGATGGTACTTGACTTTGAGGATGGTGATGATTGAATGAAGCTTAAGTTAGATGCTACATTTTGTAGAATGTAAATATATCAAAGAAACAAATGCTGCTATAAAGATGGATTCTAGTGCTAACATTTAATTTATGTTGCTTATTATTGAGGCCTCTCTTTCTTTTTACCCCATAGCCAAAGTGATGTAATTCCTTGCTAACATAGTAAGTTAAGTATATGTGTGTGTATGTATTGCCAAAGTTTGATTTGTTACCTAGCTTGATAGGTAAGTAAAGTATATATTATACAACTACTGATATATAAGTGGATTGATATTATTAAAGTTCGATTCGCAAGATTTGATATCAATGGAGACTATTGAGCACTTTGCCCACAGGCATCACCCGTTGGTTTACATAGGCCAAGACAAAATACAAAAAGATAGAAATCATAATAGTAAGCCTCATTTGTGCAATGTATGTTGGCTACCAATTCTTTCGAGCCCGTTCTATAGTTGCATCAATGGCTGCGATTTCTTTTTGCACAAGCCGTGCGCGCAGCTGCCGGACAAAGTGGATCACCCTTACATTTCCACCTTTCTTTCTCTCAAAATAAACCCACATCCAAATAGCACGTGCAAAAGGTGCAACAAGTTATGCGCAAATATCGTCTACACTACTGATATACATTACCGCTTTGCGGATTATATTGTCCATCCCTTGTGTGCCGTGCAAGTAGAGATCAAAATCGAGCACCAGAGCCACAACGAACATCCTTTGGTGGCCGTTTGTCGAGATACTTTGTCCCTATGTGATGCGTGCGGTGAAAATCACGAGGGAGTTTTCTTCTCGTGCAAAGATTGCAATTTCTGGATCCATCGAGACTGCACATTGTTGCCGAGCATTGCCAAACATCCTTCTCATGATCACCACTTAGTACTCTCGTATGCCCTTTCTGCAGACTTCTACAGAGCGTACATTCTACGATGTGACGTGTGCGGAGGAAGGTTCCGCGGCAAGGGGCTTTATGCTTGTGCCGTCGATCGTGATTTCCATGCTCATTTGAAGTGTGTGTCGTCCAACATGGGAAACTTCACTCTCGCGGGTAATTATATCGAACACAACATTGCCTCGTCTATTAAGTAGACCTTCTAATTAACATTTTCAATGCAGATGCAGAGTTGCTTATCCATTTGCCGCATCGTGAGGGAGGTTATATGTATTCAAGTTTGGCCTACCGCAACCTAGACAACAGATCGGATAGACAGAAGAAGTGGGAAATCGAGAAGTATCACAACCATCCTTTGACCTTTCACCAACTTACGAGTAGTAGTGACAGCAGTAGCGTAGAAGCATTGTTGATGTCGTATTCACGTTCTTTAGACAAAGGATTGGTGTGTGACGCGTGCATACAACCCATCATTTCACGTCCATATTGGGAATGCGCTCGATTAGACTGTCGTTACCTTCTCCACGACTTTTGTGCGAATATTCCTTCTTCGGTCCTTGCTTTCGGGTATCGAGGATCCCTTTACCAAGACTCGAACAAGTATTTATTTCATTCGACTTTCCCATGTTTTTTCTGTCAACGGCCGTGCAATGGATTGGGCTACCGTGCCTATATCAATACTTACACAACTGCCATGACAGATTTAGAGACCAATCCTTACACAATTGCCATGGCAGATTTAGAGATCAATCCTTACACAATTGCCATGGCAGATTTAGAGTGCGCTTCTGCACCCCATGCCACAACACACTCATCACACGAACAAAATTATCACATTCTTATCCTAACCATGCAGACCGAGCTTATACCCCTCAGCTGTTGCCGTGAACTCTGGCCTTCTTCACCTTGGCCTTTTCAACCCTCGGCGTCACGAACCTATAGATGCGTTAGTTGCGATTATGCAATACATGCCGGGTGTGCTTTTCTACCTAAAAAGGTGAGCCACAAATTCGACAAGCATCCTCTCGAGTTAATGTTTACCGGATCACCGAATGGAAAAGACGAGTGCCTTTGTGAGGTTTGCGAAAAGGATATTGACCAACAGTATTGGTTTTATCATTGTGCCATTTGTGAGCAGTCCTTTCACGTCGAATGTATCCCGACTGTCGGGCTTTTGTCGAAAATTAAGTTCGGAAGCACTCTCGATGTTTCTTGCCACACGGACCATCCGGTGGCGTTGACTCGGATGCTTACCGTTGGGAATCAGAGGTGTAGTTATTGCAGTGAAATAATCGAAGGTTTTATTGATGACATGAACTTTTGCTGCTCGGAATGTGATTTCTGGATTCACTATTTGTGTGCAAAGAGCTGTAACAAGGAACAATATACGTCTAGACCTTGGTACAATTGTAGGATATAAACATTTGGCGCTTTGCCATGCAATAAGTATGATAAATGTAACAAGGTATTATGTGTTATAAT